CTTCTTCTTCTTCTTCTTCTTCTTCTTCTTCTTCTTCTTCTTCTTCTTCTTCTTCTTCTTCTTCTTCTTCTTCTTCTTCTTCTTCTTCTGGGCTCATATTTTCCTAGAGACTGCACTACACCACTTCTTCTCTCTGAAAGATGGAGTCATTGAGTGTATGGTTGCCAGCTTTTACACTAGTCCCTCTAGATGGCCCTTTAATAGCAGTTTGATCTGCTGCAAATAGCGGGTGATTTCATTTAGCTCCAAGCCATGAAAAGCTTCAGTTGTCCATTTCCACCCACTAAGCCTCTATCAAAGGGACAGGACATTTTTCTCCTGGCCAGTTAACAATCCAAGTCAGGTACTGCAGTGTTATTGTGCTATTGTAATTGCTCACCTCCCTTATCTTCCTGTGTGGACATGGCAATCAGGAAATGAGTGATTATGATAGTGCAATGACACATTGGTTCAGCTTTAGGCAATCTTGTTCAGATGCAAGTCCCAAGTTAGTGTGTGTGGGAACACAGCCTTAACTGAACATAAGTTTAGGAATCCTTAACTTACCAAACGGTGCAGCAAGTTGCACTGAATCTGAGCTGTGGCATTCTTGAGTGTTCACATTGCATTAATATTGACCCCATGTATATTGCATTTGCTTGTACATCCATTAACGGTGAAAAAAAATGGCATAAATGTTGTCTTGCTGCACAAAGGACCACCAGCGCATAACTTAAGAGTGTCAAATTTTGCCATTTTGCAGATGAATTCAAGTTCTTTATGAAAAGGCTGCCCATGAACTATTTCCTCAACACATCTGCCATTATGCACTTGTGGACAATGGACTCAAATTTCCAGCATCGTTACGAGCAACTAGAAACCAGCATGAAACAACTGTTCTTTAAGGCACAGAAAATTGTTTACAAGCTCTTTAGCCTTAGTAAGAGGTGCCATAAACAGCCACTTATCAGCTTGCCAAGGCAAAGGTAAGAAAACACCACAACAACCCAAAACAAGCAACCTAGAACAGTGATTCCTAAATGAGGCTTGCAGGAAGATTAACAAACTGGTGGGAAAAAAGGATTGGCAGAAACCTAAATCACAAATGACTGTCTTAATTTTTTTTTGGCATCACTGACCTAGGAGGCTCTTTTGAAATTAATACCCTATGGTGTGTTTATAAGTCTTCCAGTGTTATTCTTTCATCACAAAAGCATACCTGAAGGGCAGGCAGTGTTTTAAGAAGTGCATTCTCATGTCCATGTGAACCAGCAGCACCGCAGTATTCCTCACCTTTCCACCTTCTAGCCAATGATGTGAAAGAGGATGCTATAGTTTGAGACTGTAGAGAGAGAAGACCTGTGAGGAAAGACTGAGGAAACTGGGAATGTTTAGTCTGGAGAAGAGGAGGTTGAGGGGGGACATGATTGCTCTCTTGAAGTATTTGAAGGGCTGTCACTTAGAGGAGGGCAGGGAGCTGTTCCTGTTGGCAGGAGACGGTAGGACTCGCACTAATGGGTTTAAATTAAGGGCAGAAATATCCTGGCTGGATATCAGGAAAAACTTTTCTACAGTAAGAGTTGTTCAGCAGTGGAATCAGCTGCCCAGGGAGGTGGTGAGTTCCCCACCCCTGGCAGTCTTTAAGCAGTGGCTGGACAAACACTTGTCAGGGATGCTCTAGGCTGATCCTGCACTGAGCAGCGAGTTGGACTAGATGGCCTGTATGGCCCCTTCCAACTCTGTGATCTATGATTCTATAAGACATATGAGGATGTCGTTTTCACTGCCATCTTTGTGGTTGGCATGATGAAATCTGTTTCTCTGTAATTCACAGCTTTCCTTCCTTCTCCATCATTTATTTGGGAGAAGAAAGGGGGAAATCTCCATTCCCAGCCCTCACTTTGGTGAAATCCCAGGAAATGGCTTGGGTGGTGGCCAACAACTCCTAATAATCTGGGCTGACTGACCTTCTGAAGTGTAAATGCTACAACAGGAAAGTTCAAAAATATCTTCCCACAGCTTTTTATCACTGGACATTTTTGCAGATTAGCAGCTTCACTCAATGTGGATACACTGACAAATGTCCTTGGCTAGTAATGTCAATACCTTTTGTTTTAATAAGGATATTATCGGCAATATAATAATATTCTTATCTGGCCCAGAAAATTCTCAGAATCCCATAGAATCTGTGCTACTACTGAGATGAAGTATGTTTGGCATGTAAATTCCCCTGGTTGAGGAGCCTTCATATATTAGCTACTCCGAGCTTTCTGGTGGAACAGCAGGGTATGTGTAATAGATACATAAAAATCATTTAATACAGCCAAACACACTTAATAACATGGCATGGCTTGAAGCAAACCACATCTAATTTTAGAAAATATTATGCTCCTTGAGTTGAATAATTTCTGTTACTTATCCAGGATTTTTTCAACAATTAAAATTGTTAAAGGATCAACTTTGGCTTTGCAAGAACAGCACATTGATTCAAAACAAATTAAACAAAAGGCTATATGAATAGAGAAACCTGAGAAAATACTGATAGCATGCACATTGTTTATTATGACTTGGTTTTAAAGCAGTAAGATAGTATGTACTGTGAGGATAAGCTGTGATTTTAATCAACCTCCTAACCATACACCCTTGAACAATTCCCAGTTAAGATTTACAGAAATCACCCAAAATGGTGATAAATGTCTCCCCCCACCCTACATGAATCTTTGATGTACTCTCTGGCTTGGTAGGTGCCTCAGTTTCTTGCGTGAAACCAAAAGATCTGTTCACTCGGAGTGTGTAGCAGAGCAGATAATTTAATCAAACAGGTAGACACAGCATGTATAAAACCAGAGGCTACTGAAAGAACTAAGCTTATTAACAATAAATCAAATTACTTGGAACTCAAAATGTGAAAAAGAAGCTACTACTAAAAGGCTCCTTATGATAGGGGGCAGGTGTTACGTAACTGCAAGCAGATCACTCTCAAACACAAACATAAGTTTCCTTATATTGAGTCAGACTATTGGTGGGCTAGGGTTGCCAGCTCTGGGTAGGGAAATACCTTGAGATTTTGGGGGTGGAGCCTGGGGAGGGCAGGGTTTGCGGAGGGGAGGGGAGAGACATAGGCTACGATCACACACCAAGTAATCAACTTTCAGTCCACTTTCAAATTGGATTTTGTCAGTTCACACAGTAAAATCCAGTTGGAAAGTGCATTGAAAGTGGATTATTTAGTGTGTGCGATCGCAGCCATAGAGGGCACACTCCAAAGCAGCCATTTTCTCCAGGGGAACTGATCTCTAATGCCTGGAGATCAACTGTAATAGCAGCATATCTCCATGCTCCACCTGGAGACTGGCCACCCTAACTGGTCCATCCAGTTCAAATATTGTCTGCTGTGACTGGCAGTGCCATATATCGAGCCTGGGACTTTCTGTATGTGAAACCTGTGGCCTACCAACTAGACCACAGTCCTACCCTCATTCATCCAAGCGAAAAAAAACAGAGGTTTACTGTAACTTAGGGTACGATCACACACACAATTAGGCCCGCCATAGGTTTGAATGCCAGGTGGATTTAAGGGGTGCGATCAGGTATGAACATCTGGGAAGCACCCCGCACCTATTGGCAACCCATTTTGCTCTGCCTCAGGAGTGTAGTAAAAAGACACTGGGGAAAATCTGGTAGTAAACGGATTGCGACAGGCCATGGACAGAGTTTCCCATGTCTGATCGCTTCAGCGCACTCTCATGCCATCAGGATGGTCTGATCAGGCCATCCCGACTCTGTGCTGTTGGGGTTTTCCCCCATCATTGCAAACTCCATAGGGAGCCCTCAGTGAGGAGATGCGTTTCATCAATTCCTCATTTAAGCGCATCAGAAACAAACAGCAAAACCAACAACAACAACAAAAATGACTCACCCGTGGTTGCGTCTCATCATGCAGTGGTGGGCTGTGCCCGCAGCTTCCAAGGACTGTGTGATCACGCAACTGGGGGTCAAATTTCTCCAGACGAAATAGCCTTGCTCCCCCCACTTTATCTTGCACGTGTGACCACCCCCTTAGAAACAAAGGCTTTGTTCGAATCAGTGGAAGAAATGTCATCCTTATTGTTTCAGCCTTGTGTTAGGCAACTGAATCAAAATGACACAAAGTTCAATTTATTGTTGTATAACATAAAACTAAAACATGAATAACCACTTCTGCATTACTCTCAGTGCAGTCCTTCTATACTCTTCTACTTCAGTGGACTATTTAGGGCCAAGAAAAATCTCTTTCGTGCAGCTTCCTTTCCCCATTGCTGTAAGATTACATTCCCCAGCAAGCAGTGCTTCCTTGTGTGTTACTTACAGGGACTATGATACGTAAAACATTGCTGGCTATTTGTTAGAGTGGCAGATTGCTTAGAATTAAAGACTATCCTCCAGTGTTATATGCAAATAGTTGTCATGGCTAGTCCCTGTTCTCTTTCTAGCACATGTTAGCAAAGAAACAGGGCTTTGTTCCATAGCCACTAGATTTCTAAAAGGAAGCTCAAAATGAGTTTGAATTGCTTTGAAAAACTAGAGCCATACCCTTTAATATGGGGGGAAATATTCAGTATTGGGGAGAAAAAAAAGAGAGAGTCTGCCTGTTCCTCATGACATGGATCAATCACTATATTATATGTCCCAAGAAAGAGACAATACTGAGCTTGTGAAAAGTTAATCAGGGAGGCTTACGGAAACTTAACATTTTCATTTTCTGTGCTAATGTAGGTCAATTTAAATTATGTACACTGAAATTTTCAACCATTTCCTATTCCAGAAAGGATAAAACTATTGGGTGCTTAATGTCTTGCAGGAATAGCCTGATTTATTCCTTTCAGCTGTATCTAAGGCCACAGTCACACTGGAGTCTTGGTGCAATCTGGCTGCACCTCTATTTGTGGTGGTTTAACTAGTTGTGGGAAGTTTTGATCAGACATCCCACCCTGAACCGGCTTCACCGTGTGCTCGCACCATGGTCGATCATTCAGATTGTTATGGCATTCTTTTTTTTTTTTTGTCTTTCACCCATGTGCATAAGTGTGTATCCAAAGTTCCAGCTCCTTTTTGACACTTTCCCATTCTCTCTATCAAGTAGTCCAGCCCTTCTCAGCCTCCTTCCCATTGCCTCTCTTCCATGGAATACTTGGGGGAGGGGGAGATGCAGATTTACATAAAAGTAATCCCATTGATGTCAGTGCATTTACCCTTGTGTCAGTCATGGGATGCTCTCAGACTCTGATGCAGAAACAGGAGATACAGGGGTTTTTTTTGGGGGGGGAGGATTTGTCACTTGAAAACAACTCCCTCGGGGACTCCCGATCCAGAATGACTCCTTGGCCACAGTGATTGACAATGCCAGGGGCAGTTTTGTGCTTATGCACACATAGCTTCCTGATTTAAAAATAAAAAGGAGGCAGAAACAGAAGGGAAGGTTTGGACTTTCCAAACGGCTTGACTTTGCAACAAGGGGTTCAGATGTCGGGAAATGCAGAGTGGCTTTCCCTGGTGCCTGATTACTCCACTTCCAAAGTAGGGCAATATGGTATGCCAATGACTAGGGCATGGAAGGCAGATGTTATTGTCTGATCGTTCTCTTTAAATCCACAACGGTAACATTACAATATATCATGGCAAACTGCTTGTGTGACTGCAGCCTAAGTGTTAATGGCTGGTTCACACATACAAGTTGTTTTGCTGCCTCTCCAAATGGAGTATTAACAGTTTAATCCTGTGTGATGTTACTCCAATCTAAGTCAGTTGAAAATTACTAGATATATTTGTTGGAGAATTTGACGAAGTCCGATGAAGAGTTCTTTAGCATGATAGGCTAATACTGAAAATAACCACACTGTGACATATTAAAGACTTAATTATTGGCATAAGTTTTCATGAGCCACTTTGCCAGATGTAAAGAAGTGTTAGTTGGTTGGCAGAAGTATACATATGGATACAAAGAGAAGAATGCTGCAGGGAGAAGGGAGAGTGTCATTTCCAAGCAGTGTTTTGTTTTGAGGATGGGGTAAAAAGGGTTCCAGTTCTTATAAAGCTGCACTGATTTCCAGCAATTCCTCCCCCTGGACTCGAGAGACCACCCTTCCAATGGTGCTGGTCTTCAGTACCAGTGAGTACCACCACAAAAAAGCCCCATTTCCAAGAGAGGGCAGAAGACTCAGCATCCCACAAGATAGATGTGTTGCATAACTTTACAGAACCTTGGCAAAAACAAAATCTGGTCAACAGTGTAAGGAATCCAATCAGAGCAGGTGTGGGTGACAAATTGCTAAAGTATGCTAAAGACAACTTTCTTTTTTACCTTTCCCTTGATTTATCAGCCTAAAGGCCATAAAATAAACTCAGTTTGCCAGCTGTACAGAAATTATATAGCAAAAGAGAGCAACGTCCACCATGCAATTGTTTAGTTTGCAAGAAAATCAGAATTTCAGTTTCTGAACATCGGGAGTGCTTGCCAAGTGTCTAATCCAGGGAGTAATATATTTATCACAGGACTTTTAAAAATAGCACTAATAAGTATGCAATATGCAATCCAGTAGATGAGAACAAAAAACACATGTGCAGTTTTCCGAAGAAATGTTTTTGAATCTTCCCACCATTTTGGCTGAGTTAAAAGCATTACATTCCCCTTGCATATATGCTCATCTAAATTCAAGAATTGTCAAATAATAAAAATAAGACTGGAGAGTAACCACCAGGGAGATCTAATGGTAATTATCTAGTCCACGTGTAGATTTTCCTAGATTAATAAAAATTAATAGTACAGAGAGAGTGGGAAACAATGTTTGTAGACCTGCAGCTTCTGCCTCTCAACTCTTTGTGGATTTTTCTTTTTTATTTTATCCTTTGCCATTCTTAATTCCTCCTTTCAACATATGCAGTTCATCAGGGCACACACCTAAAAAACAATGTTTAATTTAACAAAACTGTCAAAACTTCAGCTGACTGTGAAGAATTACCCAGTCTAGGAAGTGCTGGCCCTTGGCTTTATGTAGGTGGAGGGTGACTATGGGAATTCACTGGTGAGGAAAGTTTGCCAGTGTTGAACCTAGCCTTCATGCCTGGAGAAAGGCAGTGACCATACAGTATGAGAAGCTGATGTGAGTCTCAGAAACGGGCTATGCAATCTGAATCCTTGGCTCAAATGAAGCATAGAAGCTGGTTCATTTGCTCTTCTGGTTGTAGAAGACACCTGGCAACAATTAAGCATCATGAGAGATGGCATTTTTGAGACATTTACACACTGCCTTTCAGAATAACACCTGCAATGTGATACATGCCACATGAAAGGTGACGGAAAAGGGAGGGGGAAGCAAGCAAATCCAGGCTCTATCTCTCAAAGAACTGTTCTATAATGATACAGCCAGGAGGAATAGCTTCTGAAAAGGGGAGGAGCCAAATGGAAGTTGATCATAGATCGATGGATGGAGGGAGCATCTCAGCTCTCTTTCTGATACAGCAAATGGGAATGGCGGCTGAAGGTAATACTAATGGTTAGGAAGGAGCAATAAGGTGGATCAGTAACATTCTAGAATTTGCATATCTCTGAAAAGCTGCAAACAAGGGTTGTGAGATCATTCTTGCTTGATAGTGAGACAACTATAGTGCTAAATATGAAGGCTGGATTCTGGAAGGCTCACCACAGAGATGCTGGTCCCTATGGCAACCAGGGCACCTAGCCCCCTTTTTCAGCTTTGATGGCTTGTTCACACATACAACTCATCACTTGATCCTTTAGTCATTGAGTGATTGATGAACATATATCAAACCAGCCCTTTCTATCAGAAGAACAATAAGAGATACTAAAAACAAACAAACAAAAAACCACACACAACCTAATTTTAAAAGTTGTATTACAATTCTGGTACATTTTTATCAAGAGCTAAATTTGAGTCTGGTAGCACATTAGAGACCAACCAGATTTCCAGGTTATAGGCTTTCAAGAGTCAAAACTCCCTTCATGTGATGAAGCAAGATTGACTCTTGAAACCTTAAACCCCTCAAATCTTGTTGGCCTCTAAAGTGCTACTAGACTCCAAATCTAGTTCTATTGCAGACCAACACAGCTATTCTCCTGAAACTATTTTAAATCAATACATCCAGCTTTGTTTAGTTTTATTACTCTCCCCTGCACAAAAAAGATTATTTTTGTATGTTTGTTCACTGCAATGAGCTCATTCCATGCTGCTGCAAAAATTGATCTTTATCTAACAAGAAAAGGATTGGGACATGATGACGTTCCCCTCAATGTCCATTCTGCTAAGTTGCTTCCTTCCTGGACTAGATCAAACGTTTCTGTATTTCTTTGGGTCAAAGTATATGGGAAAACCTATTTGAGAACTAGGTAAAATACATCACAGGTTCCTTTACTGTAATTTCAGTCTGTAATACATTCCAGATTGATTCATCTAATTATACTTTATCCCCAACGAG